TTTATTAAAATTTTGTATAGTGAGAATACTTCATTCTCCAATAATACTGTATCAGTGAATTACCATACAGTGATGAGCTATCCACATTGGAAGGGTAATTGATGAAGCTATTGTACATTCTGTTTTGATCTGTGAACCAAGTTTTCCTAATACTTCAGTGGATCTGTGGTCTCATTGAAGTCAGTATACCCTCCAGCGAAACAGATCGAACACCTTCCGTAATCTGCCCGTGGCTTATTACTTTTTTCATGTTGTCCCTTAAATTTGCCCCCAGGGAATGAGGGAGGGAGGGAGAGTACCCAGTTTGCTGAGGGCGTGCCTCAATTTTACTTGATTCTTTAAAGGATGCTAATTAAGCTTCCATGGATTATTTTAATATGTGAACAATCCAACTTCTTGTTTGATTATTCATTTCTTTGATTTATTTTTGTCACTATGCCACATCTGTAATATGTTACCATCTTTAAAATTATGTAAAAGAAAGAGGACAGTTTTGTTTTTGTTGTTGCCGACCACTAGCCATTTAATCTTTATTTAGAAGTAAATTACCTATTTATTAAATAGCTTTTGATGAGGAAAAAATCCTTTAGTCTAAAGAATATTTAAAGACAGTTTACACAAACAATATTTTTACTTAGATTATACAGTTTTTTATTCCTTTTATACCGGTTGGTTTCTTTATGTTCTTGATTTCTTGGTGGAGATGGGGGAAGAACAACGAAGGGGAGGATGGGGGAAAAGCATACTAATAAATGCAATTGCTTTTTGGGGGGGATTTTTTTTTAAAAAGGAGACAGAAGAAAACAGCTGTTTTTAGCAGCAACAGTGGTGGAAAGTAGGAAGGGATCTAAAGGAGGCAATAGAATAGCTGAGCCCTCTGCCTCTGTAACCTCTGAAGGAAATGTGGGATGGGGGGAATGGGGTGGGGGTGGGGGCAGATCGGAGTCCAAACAACCGCCTCTACCTTTGTAACCTTTGGAATCATGGGACACCTTTGCTCTCTATGCAGCCTGTGAAGGTATTAACAAAGGGAAATAAAACAGCCCCTTGTAACTCGTTATGTTGGCCTTTGAATCCAAAATACCATTGAGACACAGCGTTGTGCTCCGCTGCTGAGAGCTGTGGCAACAAGCTTTCATAACAGACATTTCCAGTTTTTTTAGAAGGCATAGGGAAGATGTATAAGAACTTTGTACTTAAGAGATTAATAATTTGACAAGAAGAAGCAGGGAAAAATAGGGATTCATCAATCAGTATGTTATTGGTTTTTGTATCTTGTGTGACTTCAGGGCTCAGAAAGGGAAGCAATTGAAATTCTTCACAGATTCAGAGTCATGACAGGAGTAATGCTGTGATTAATCAGTCAGCAAGCATTTATTCATCATCTGCTATGTGTTAGGCACTGGACTAGGCAATGGGCATACAAAGAATGAGGCAATCTCTACTCGTTCTTTCAGGGGAAGTATTCTGTGCATATGTATATATGGACATAATAAATACAAAATCAGTTACAGAGGAGAAAGGAGGGCACTAGGAGTTGTGGAAGGGGGTCAGGAGAGGATTCATGTAGAAAGTGGTGTGCAGAGTCTCTCGTGTAGCCTCCCCTTTCTCCCCCCCTACCTGTGCTCACTCCCCACCCCCGACTGCCAGCATTAAGACCTAGATGGAAAATCTTTATCATCATAATTATTGTTGTGAGTACCATCATCAACTCATGTAAAATTTCAATTATGGAATTATGGATCACTACCAGAAACCTTCCATAAGTTAAAAATGAGAAAAGGCTCCCCTATACTTTATTCAGGTCCACTGAAAAGATTTGTGGGTATCTTCCTACCTCTGTCTCAGTGATCATTGAAAAAGCAAAAGGATTTTTATGAAGTCAGCTAAGAGGTTTATTTTCAGAAGAGTGATTTTGCTGTTTCAGAGTGAGATATGGCATTAGAGTATTAGAGATAGCTGATAAATGAGTGAATCATGGTGATGGGCAAAAATATTTGACTTGCCAAAGAACTCATTTCTGAGAACAGTCCGATGAAACACTTCAGTTTTGCTGGGTGCTCGCTTCGCCCATAGTCAACTCTAGTGTTTGTTCAGGTCTTGAATTGTTTCCACCAGGGCAAGACTAAGTGAATAAATCTGAGTAGTCCTGTTCATGTTCATTCAGATTTTATATGAGTTTTGTAATAAAACTATTTTACTTGAACTAGACCTTTGATTTCATTTCATAGAGGAACTTCTTATACCAATGTAGGTTGACACTTCTGTAACAGCTTTCTACATCGTGGGGCACTTAGACAACTAGTATAAGTCATAGGCAGGACTTGAACCCAGGTTTTACTGACCTGCATTGAATTAAGATGCCTCTTACAAGTTAATCATATACTCCCTTATTTAATTATTTTACTCCTTCATCTCTGTATGTTTTATTCCCCCTCTCCCTCATCTCTCCCCCCTCCAAAAAAAAAATTATGTTTCCTTCCATTGCCTACCACATACTGGGCCCTGAAGGAAGATAAGGATTGTAAAAAGCAGGGAAGAGAGAGTGCGTTGCAGGCATGGAGGTGGGGGGTAGGGAAAGGGGAGGGAGGAAAGATGTAGCTCTTGTGAATAGAAATAGAATGGCAGGTTCATTGGAACAGCTAGTGGGCTAGTTTAGCTGGAATGTAGTGTGTGAAGTAGAATAATGTGAAGCAAGTCTAGAAAAGTTGGTTGGAGCTAGGGTGTGGAGGGACTTTAGATGGTAGGCTCGAGAGTTTGCATTTTATCTTACAAGTAAGATAAGATGTACTACAAGTACAGATGTTTTTGAGCCAGTAAGTGACATGGTGAGGATATTTTGCCACCTGTGTAGTGGCTGGATTGGATAGGAGAGACACTGGAAGAAAAGAGATCAATTAGGAATTTATTACAATAACTTCTGGCAAGAGGCAGTCAAAACCTGAACTAGGATGGTGGAGAACAGAGGACTAATGTGAGAGAATTAAAGGTTTAAAAATACTTCAGAAGTAGGGAACTTTGGAGGAGTGAGGAGGGTTTTGGTTTTGTCTTTGTATACCTAGCACCTAGCACTGTGCTTTACATATAGTAGGTATTTAATAAATATTTGTGGAATTGAATTTGTTGAATTTAGTTATTCAGTTAAGAACAGTCTTCACAGTTCATTGAAGGTGTTTCCTAGGATAGTCTCAAAAAGAGACATCCCCTACTGTAATGTAACTGAGTTTTAAAAAACTAAAACCTTATTCAGTCCTATTATAGCTAGTAGGGATAATGTCTTACCAGGAAATTGAAGGTCTGCATAGAGATCTCAAAAAAGGAGAGCCAAAAGATTTGTGAATATTTATTTAGTAATGTCTAGGGGTGAGGACACTCTTGGTTTATTAAAAAAAAAAACAAAAACTTACTGATATTTTTCTTGACAGACACTTCCTCACTAAACAGCCTCAGAAACTTCCCTACAGAGTATACCCCTTCCTTGCCCCCCCCCCCCCCAGTTTATTGGTTGTAACAGAAAGGAAGGATATGTTGTTTAACTTTGATGATATGTTAATATTGACCATTGTATTTGACCAAAGTTTTGGTACCTCTCAATGTTGCATTTGTTTATCTTATCATACATATTTGAGTGTATTGGGTTTTTTGGCTTAACTTTCTTCTCTGTTCCCATTTCATATGTCTTCTTATATTTCTTAGAATTTTTCATATTTGTCATTCCTTATAACATAGTAATATTCCATTATATATGTATGGTTTATGTATACATATAATATTTATTTAATTATTACCCTATCAGTGGGTACATATTTTGCTTTTAGCTTTTTGTTATCACAAGGCTGTTATGACAGATTAGTATTATTATTATTATTTTTATTTTGCTGCCAATGACCTTCTTAGTAGTATATTCCTAGTAATGGAATTGCTAGATTTGAAATTATGAACAACTTAGTAACTTTTCTTGCATAATTCAAAATTGTTTTGCAGTTGAACCAATTTATAGCCCTTCTGGCAATACATTAACATGCCTGTTTTCACATAGCCTGCCTAGCAATTAATTTTCCCATTTTTGCCAATTTTGCTACCTTGATGGGCATGAGATAATCCCTCATGTATCACTGGCTTGATGGAGTGATCTCTCCTACAAACATCCAGTTCCGTTTTCGTAGTGCAGTGAGAAACATTCTGGATCTAGAGTCAGAGGAACCTAGGTTCTAATTCTGATTTCGCCACTTACTACTTGTGTGACTTTGGCCAAGCCATTTTATTCATTTGGGCTATAATTACCTCATCTGTAAAATTGGAGGAGAGGGAGTTGGAAATGGTTTCTGAGTTAAGCTCTAAATGAGACATTCATAACCTTTCTTGAACTCCTTTGGCAATCTGATGAAGCCTGTGAACCTCTTCTCAGATTGACATTTTTAAATGCATAAAATAACATGCATATACTTATGACGAAAACTAATTATATCAAAATATGGTTATCAGAATATTTTTTTAAAAACAAGTTTATGGAGAGACAATGGTTAAGAATTCCTGCTCTAAATCTATGGTCCTTCTCCTATAGTCCATGGACTGAATTCTCACAAAGCAACTTTACAATATTGCTATTTGGTTTCTTAAATGAGCAAACCCATCAAAGGAGGAGTGTCTTATGTAGCTAGATAAATGGGTAGGTAGATAACTTTCTAGGCATATCTCCTTAAACTAGCATACTGTTTTCTCAGTCTGTTTTTAATTTGATTAGTATAAATTGGCTTCCTAGAGCCTAGCCAACTCTTTCTGGGCTCATGAAACTGACTTTTTGAGTATACAAAGCTCAAGACTAACCCTTGTTCTGGGGTACAGCCACTTTGAGAGATTCATCTTATGAATCTAGCCAACCTCTATTCTGCCATTGTTTAACTTTTAGTTGCAAAGCTGTTTATATTGTAGGTACCCAATAAATATTTGTTGAGTTGGCCTGAACAGTATAAAGTTGTAATTTAGTTTTATTTTTCCAGGTATAAGAAATCATAAACTCAGAAGGTGAATATGGGTGAAAAGAAACCAGAGCCTCTGGACTTTGTGAAGGATTTTCAGGAATATCTCACTCAACAGACCCACCACGTGAACATGATCTCTGGATCAGTTAGTGGGGACAAGGAAGCAGAGGCTCTTCAGGGAGGTAGATTAATTTTTAAATATTATTATGTATTTCACTTATGTAAGCTGCATTGTAAACCCTTATTATGAAGAACAAACAATATTATGTGAATTGTTTGCTTTTTTTTAAGTAGAACATTTTATTCATTATCATTAATTAGTAATAGAGAATGTACTTTGTGAGGAGAAGCAGATGGAGTTCTAAAGATTTAATTTACTAAATTGTAGGAAAATAGTACAGTGAGCAGCTTTCCTAGAAATCTGAAGACTTGAGTTGTCTGACACTTGGTAAACTGTTTGACCACCTTGAGCCAACTACTTGGATTCTCTGGGCCTCAGCTTCCTCATCTGTAAAATAAAGGGGTCAAATTAGATGGTTGCCAGTGACTCTTTTAGACCACCTAAAGTTCTGTGATTCTTAATGCTGATTGGTGCCAAACCTTTAAATTTTATCTTAGGAGCTTAGTAACAAAGTAAGAAATAGAAGATCCTGATAGACAGGTACTACAATTCATGTGTACAGTACTTTGAATTGGATGGAAAAGTGAGAAGTCCATTAATTCTTTCAGACTAAAGTAACAAAAGTCTGTTGTACAAGTCATCATGTGATGACCATGCATATTTGGGGGGGAATCAGTTAGGTGCTTAAATTCACAGATAATTGTATTCTTTTATGCCAGTAACTTTGAAGTAAATTTTTATAACTTATAACCATATACATGTTTTCCTTCAGTGAAATAAGGATGAGGAATAATAAACAAGTGAACTGAATGAATCTTAGTGTAATTAATTAAATTTTCATTTATAAATGATTTTGTACCACCTTAGACCAAAATTTAAAATTATTATAATTCTAGAGACTTGATTTCTATTGCCATACTTTGTTTATAGCTGGGACAGATGGTGATCAAAATGGACTTGATCATCCATCTGTTGAAGTGTCCTTGGATGAAAACTCAGGAATGCTGGTGGATGGATTTGAAAGAACATTTGATGGAAAACTAAAATGTCGATACTGCAACTATGCCAGCAAAGGAACAGCACGGCTCATTGAACATATTAGAATTCACACAGGTAATGAGGTCATTTCTTGGTGTGTATGTGTGGATGCTTGCAATAGTTTAAAAACTAAGCATAACACAGCATTTATATTAATGAAGAAATTCCCCTTTCCATCAGAAATATCATATAAAGTAGAGGCACAAATTAAAAATTATCAGAGTCCCAGAGCCCTTCCTCTTTGGTAGAGAACATTCTTTTCTACAGACCTTCCCACCCCAGAGGATGAATAGTGGAGCTCCGTAGCACTGCTCCTACAGTGCATACCCAGCCCCCAGTGCCAAATTCCCCACTGGCCCCTTAGCATTTGCCTGGTGCTGCATTTTGAATTTAGTAATGATGTTTTTATTGGCAGTAGGATGTGGCAGGTGGTAATGGTGGGGAAATAGCCCTAGTTCAGGAACCATATATACTTTAGTCATCAGATCCTTCCAAATTACAACCTCGTAAGATTTGGCAATAATCTCCTCAGAAATGTTATGGCAGTTTCTTTGTGATGTACTAATAACTTGGAAATCTGACAATGGGAATAGCATATCCTGCCAGCTTTGTGAATTTTGAAATAGAATTGTCTAATTATAAACAAAGGACAAGAACACCACTTACAATTAAGGTTTTAGTGCAGTTTTAAGCTATTCAAGCTTAATTTTAAGCTATTAAGGCTTGAAATGGCACTTAAGACCTTTGAAACACCCTATACACACACACATATACATACATCTAATACATTATGGTATAGATTATTTACATTATGTACATTATATGCATTGGTAGCTTCTCTGCAACTGAAGTCTCAGGTGCCTGGAGCAGAGAGATTATAGACCTTCCCAAGGTCCCACAGTCAAGAGGTGTCAGAAGCAGGACTTGAAGTCTTCCTGGCTTTGATATCAGCTTTCACAATCCATCACAACATGTCTACATTATGATGTAGGGAATATCATTGTTAATCAGATACTGTGATTGCTCCACTGTTTCTTCTCAATCTACAAGAGCGCTTATCATAGCTAAAAGAAAATTTATAACAGTATGGCCTTTGATAGACCTGGACATAACAAATTTAGTGCCGATAAGAAGAATAATTTACTTTAAATTACTTGTGTATATGTGTGAAATCTCTTTGTTCCTTCAATTTCTTGTAACTTAGATTGGACCTTTTATACTAGTTTGTATTATAATTATTTCTGTTAAGTGCCTTACTTCCTTTGCTCTTTGAAGGCAAGGACTGTTTCATCTCGTTTTTTGTATCCCTGGTGATTAGCTTTCTTAGAACTAAATACATTTTTTGTTAATTTAAATAACCTATAGTTATGTTTAGAGTTGTATTCCAAATGTATCACTTTTCTGTGCTTATAAAGATAGTTCTGGAACAGCTAAGGGTGCAGTGGATAGAGCACCGGCCCTGAAGTCAGGAGGACCTGAGTTCAAATCAGGCCTCAGACACATAACACTTACTAACTGTGTGACCCTAGGCAAGTCACTTAACCCCATTGCCTAGCAGAAAACAAAAAAACAAAACCAAAAAAAAAATAGTTCTTCTACATTCCTAAATTCAGTGAATATGAGATCATGAAATTTTCTATTAAATGTGTTTCTGCTGTCACACCTTTATTTTTACAGGTGAAAAACCTCATAGATGTCACTTATGTCCATTTGCATCAGCTTATGAGCGTCATCTGGAAGCCCATATGCGTTCCCATACTGGTGAAAAACCATATAAATGTGAATTATGTTCCTTCCGCTGCAGTGATAGAAGTAATCTTTCCCATCATCGTAGACGTAAACATAAAATGGTACCAATTAAAGGTACTAGGTCTTCCTTAAGCAGCAAGAAAATGTGGGGGGTTTTGCAAAAGAAGACTAGCAATCTAGGGTACAGCAGGAGAGCACTAATCAATTTGAGTCCACCTTCCATGGTGGTTCAGAAACCAGACTACCTGAATGATTTTACCCATGAAATCCCAAATATCCAGACTGATACATACGAAAGCATGGGAAAAACGACACAGACTGGTGGCCTGCCAAGGGACCCACAAGAACTCGTGGTTGACAACCCATTAAATCAACTATCCACTCTAGCAGGACAGTTATCCAGCTTGCCACCTGAGAATCAAAACCCAGCATCTCCTGATGTTGTTCCATGCCCTGATGAAAAGCCTTTTATGATTCAGCAGCCCACCACCCCGACAGTTGTTTCTGCTGTCTCAACAAGTATTCCTCAGAGCTCATCTCCTACAAGTCCCGAACCTCGGCCATCACACAGTCAGAGGAACTATAGCCCTGTGGCAGGCCCAAGCAGTGAACGCAGTGCTCACACTAGTACTCCCAGCATAAGTAACAGCCAGCCCAGCACGCCAGCCCCAGCCCTGCCAGTTCAGGACCCTCAGCTTCTGCATCACTGCCAGCACTGTGACATGTACTTTGCAGACAATATCCTTTATACTATTCACATGGGATGTCATGGGTTTGAAAACCCTTTTCAGTGTAATATATGTGGATGCAAATGTAAAAACAAGTATGATTTTGCCTGTCATTTTGCAAGAGGGCAACATAACCAGCACTGATACAAAACAGTCACATCATGCTTTTTTTTGGTCTTGCTTTTCTAAAATTTCATGTTTCTATCATCCTTAATGAGGTATCTACTAATTTAAGAGATCATATCTTATGTTTCTAAAATGTAAATTTGACAGTGGAGACAAATTTTTCTTGTCTGGTCAGGGTCATTTATGTGTTAGTGATAAGGTAGATAGGATATAATTTAGTTTTAAGTCTTTTTTTTCTTTTTGTTCAGTAGATAAGAATTGGAGTGCAATTATATTTTATGAGCCTTCATTTAATTTTCCTACATTTAACACCCATAAACACTTTATAATGCTCATTCAATCTTCTTAGTATTTCTATTTACATGTTATTTCAATTTGTAGAAGTGATTTTGGTACCTTGTTAACTTCTACCATGTTCTAAAATGGTGATTTAAAAAAATTTTACTAAACCAAACCATTTAAAATGTTTAGTGGGAGGGTTATTTTAAAATAACTCTTAATTGATAACTTTATTCCCATGTTTTGAATTCAAGCAATTGTATCAGCTAAACTAATAATGGCTTTAACTGGTTTCAGTTTCGGAAATTGCCTTTTTGCCCAGGGAAAAAAAAAGAATACGCAGTTTCTAATGTTTAAAAAAAAAAGTTGTTATGAAAAAATTCAAATACCATTTTCTTGAAAAGAAAAAAAAAAGCCCAGCATCTCAAATTAGTTTGAAAATATATTGTTTACTTCCATGATAAAAATAAATAAAATTTCATATTTGTATCTCTTTTTACTGTTTTGGCATGGGTGAAAAGGTAGTGTCCAATTTCTGTTGTATTCACACTATTGCACTTTTGAGTCTATTAAAAAAATTGAGCTAAGCAAAATAAGTACTTGTTGGAGTAAGGGTATCTGCTATCTTACAGATGTGTCCCTGAAAATGTCTTTTTCTTTTAATACTGTACTTTTTCATTTTAAATTTGTTCTGGTGTTATAGGCATCAGACAGACCAGATAACTAATAGGAGTGGCAATTTCCTCCTAATAATTTGATTACCAAAGACGAACATCAGAATGTCATCCTTTACAATTACTTTTTTTAGTCCTGGAAAATAGCCTTCAAAAGGTTTTGGGGTTTTCTGCCCTTCCTTCTGTCCCTTACCTGACAATCTTTTTTGAGAAAGCTACAGAAACTTGGATGTGTATAAAAAAAATTTAATTTGAAAAAGTAATTTAACCTAAGTCAAGAGCCTATTTAAAACCAGCCTTAAACTCTTGTGTAAATTATAGTTTAGTGCCAATATTTTCTTTGGATTCAAACTGTCATGCTCATTTGCAGGTATGCCAAACAGTAAACAATAATAATAATGATGATAATAATAATAATTGTGTATGTGTGTATATATATATATATACACACACACACACACACATATATATATATATATATATATACATACACATACACACACATATATCTACAAAGGGCATTTACCATCAGTTCAGTAATAAAGATGGAAGGGTAACAATAGGGATAAATTTTCCTAAATTTGACATTTGATGCTGTAAAGATTATAAGAAGTACTACATAAAAGTAGAGTGAATTCATTTTTGAAGAGAAGGCTACTCTTTTCCAATCATATAATTTTAAAAAAAAAGAAATAATTAGATTGGTTAAACAATTACTGATCATTTTAAAACGTAGTTTGGATCTGAAAATTGTACTACATAGTCTTATATAGAAAATCTTAATTTTTAAAATATATTTATTAACCAAAAGGGACCTGTAGACCAAAACAGAAAATATTGATGCCATTAGCTAACAATAAAGCTCCCTGATTGTGTAAGGCTAATGGACTCTCCAGTCCCCATTGAGCTGAGGATGGCTGGAAAGCCATTAAAATGTGCTTTTGTGTTTAGCATAAATTATAAATTCATCTTGATCCTTTGATCAAGATTTCCCCAAAACAATTATGAATGTCTCTTCCTCATAAAATTTTAAGGTTTAAGCCTCAGAAACAAACATTCTATTTTACAGTATTACTTAAATCTCTTATTCTGAAAATCATTCTTACTGTAGGAACCTAAATATAAGTATCTTATCTTAGTGTGAGAGGGAAGAATTTGAAACATTTTTGAATTAAAAAAAATTCACCCTTGTATGCCCAAAATATATAATGGAATTTTTAACTTAAAAAAATTTGCTTGTGAAATTCAGAATATATACTCACTGTGTTGTCTGTGCCAAACAATGACTTGAATGTTTTTCTGACAACTAAAAGTAGATTTTTAATGTGCATTTAAAAATTACGCGGTAGTTTTCCACAGTTTTATACTAGCATATATACAAATACTAATATTTGCTATAACCTAAAATAAAGAGCACAATTGGTATTCCAAAGTTATTCCTGCTTACAAGCTAAATTTATTTCTGAATGTGTTGAAATGCAGTAAATTGTTAAAGGTCAATCTATTAACTTTTTTGGTATTAGTTTTAAAATTTAGGAATTTATTTAAATTCTGTATTTGGAAGAATGTTAATTACTACACTTAAGTATTAAACACACATTTCCCCCCTACTTTATTTTTAAGATGTCAAACATTTTATAAATAAAATTTGTTGGAAAAAATTTAACATGCACTATTTATAGTACTTTATTGTTAACAAGCATTTTAATGTTCTGAGACTAAATTTATTTTTGTTCAGTGAACATAACAGTTTAGACTTTAAAGTTGGTAGATAACTTATCTCCACTAATATTTTTTTAAGAAACTGTGAAGATTAACAGGGAATAATTTTATTTCAGATTTTACTAATGCAGTGTATAAATATAGCTTCTTGAAATTCAAGTAAAGACTAGAATTTTCTGTTGGATAGTCCCATAGGGTATTTTCCATTGCCGTTTCAATACAGAAATAGATGTGTTGCCATAAAAGTGCAGCATTTATGACAAAGGGAATGTTAAATTACCAAGAAATTTTCATAGTCAGGCCTCATGACTAATTCAGGTACTGAGAAAAACGTGTATCAAACTGATGTCCTATTACAGAAAAACATTCCCTGCTAAATACTTTTTTCATTGAGCAGTCTTGGAGTCTATATGCGTTGTGTTCACTTTTGTTAATATGTATTTCAATGTAAAGAGCATATTTTGTATTCAAAAGATGAAACTTGAGTTATGGATGTAAGATACATTATATTGTGTAGTGATTACAGAAAAATTTAATGCCGAATAATTCAACTTTAGTGCACTTCATGTTGTGAAACTTTGCTTTTGTAAAATATGAATAAAATAACACTTTCTAATGACTAATATCCTTTTTTAAAATATCTATAATCCAGTTTATACTTAGTTACCTAAGCTTGAATACAGTGTGAATCAGTAAAAGCAGCTTTACTAAGCAATGATGTAGCAAAAAAACTGTTCTGATGTCTGCAAAGCACTGTAAGCATATTGTTTTATTTGATCCCATACTAAACCCTTTGAGTGACGTATTCACTTTACAGATGAAGAAACTGAGGCTCAGAGAGGTTAAATGAATTTTTCATGGTCACAGTGTCAAAGGCTAGACTCAATCAATCAGTGAACTTAAAAGTGCCTACTATCTGCCAGATGTGGGGTAAGCCCTGGGGATATAAAGAAAAACAAGCTCCTTCCTCCTTTAGAGGAGCTCCCAGTGTAATTCACACTTGGGTTTCTCCTTATGTTGAATCTAAAAGACTTTCCTCTATCCCATACTGCCTTAAAGTTAGTGGGTAAGTAGAGCGTTCTGGCTCTTGTCTCCTCCAATACTAGTTCGATGCTGACAGAATCAGGAATCCATTGCAGTCTAGTTCTCTAAACATCTTTCTTCCCTTTTAAAAATGTTTATTGTCTTTGTCCACCTCATCTCTACTTTAATCTGGGCAACTTGGGGGCCAATGAGCATCACAGAGAGATATTCCCACTAATTTCCTAGGCTGCATTTTATTTATATATCTTAATTTTATTTTATGCAAAGCTCTCCAACGTTGTTAACCTGGGCTGCTTGCCCAGAGCAGAGTACTGTGCTATTTTAAAAGCAACCCAGTTCCCCAAACCCTCAGTTGTTTGGTTGAGCTCACTGAAAAGCTCATGATATTTTGTAAATAATTTTTTTTCCTTTCTGATAACCCTGATCTTTTAGGATTGAGTTCTTTTACCTCATCTTTACTAATCTGCCTGGCTCTAACTAGTTTGTAAATGTTTGCTTGAAAAAATTACAGACAATTCATCCACGATGCAAATCAATTTAATACTCCTTTGGAACATATTTCTGCACAATGTTCTCTCTCTCATAATGAAATAAGCGAATGACATCTGAAATGCTATTTTGATGGAAGCATGAAATTCTTTTACTAGTTCCTTGTCGCAGATCTTCCAAAAAGTCTGCCTTAAGCTTGTTAAGTTCTTCTCCTAAAAGTTTCATCTTGTAGGCAATCACTTTTTCATCTAAAAGAAAAATATAATCTTAAACAATTTTTACAAATTAAACAAATATGGGCTGATTACATGTCACCAGAACAATTAGCTATGTTACCTCTAGGGGGAAAAAGTAGTTATTTGTAATAGACTAAGTAATGATAATGTTCACTTGTCAAACAGTTGTGCTGTTATCATGGAGACAAAAATGTTAAATATGATGCAGACATATTAACTGAAATTATTCAAACAAAAGAAATTTGCGTAAATAATAGTTCATGGTTTTACTGTTACCAAATGGAAACAAAGCTAGACAGAAGACATCCTTATTCTGGCAAGAGTTAATATAGGTGATTCATTATCTTATTGGTATAAAATGTAGTAATGGACAAGAAATTCCCATTTGGAAGATAATTTCTGAAAAACAGGCTACCTGAAGGTTATCAGTGATCAAGACAGTCTGACCAGTGTTGTTCTGTTGTGGCCTGGGCCTATGAGTCACCTTTTAGTACAACTTCATCTTCACTTTAGAAACAAAAAAAGTAAACTACCAATAAAAGTGCTAAGAAATTAAACGTGATGATTACACCTTTTGTGTTTACTCCACTGTACATTTTCCTACACTCTGGGACATTTAATTTGGCATTGTTTTTATCTTGTAAGCTAAACCAGCACAATTGTGCTTCACTTTCTTTAATGTTGCTGAAAAATGTATAAGATAAAACAGTTTTACACATGGCAGTAGAGCTCTCCATTGAAAGGAATTTTATGAAAAATGGTTTTCCAAAACATACCACCCCCAATTTGCCTATCAGATAGATTCTATGTGGAAGTTTATGAAAAAGCATGGACAAGAATCTCAGAGAATGAAGACACAGATGGATTATAAACTGTACTGGTGGATGTACCCACATTGAAAACATCAGACACTCTCTGGAGTAAATTATATTATAAATTCAGACTTGTTTGACATAATGTTTGAGGCCTGCATTAGTATTCTGCAATTCAAAGTTCTAGTTGGAAGTTATGTGAAAACAGCTAGGTTATATTCAATGAGCAGTTACTTGGATTTTGGCACATGTTTTTGGAGATGAAATCAAAATGAAAATGAGAAGTCACAATTTATATTAAAATGTATAATTCATTTTTAGTTGGCTGATTTATTTTACTCATACATATTAAACAGCTGATGAATATATACCTTTGGCTTTCTTCATTGTCTCAGAGATAATTCTTCTGAATTTCTGATCAGCTTGATGATGAATATTAGTTGAACAAATAATTCGATCAGTTTCCTATGTAATATAAAGTGTTGCTATATTAATTCATTCAACAAACATTTAAATGCCACCTGTGTGCTACACTCTATAAAATACCTAATTCAGTTTGGTTAGCCATTCATTCAATCAATACTGCTCATAATCAATGAACTTCAAAATAAACCAGTAATGAAAGGATTCTATAAGTAAATATGTATACAACATGGGCAATGTAGTTACTCCTGGGCCACAGTCTCCAACCCAGGATGTCATTAGTTTTGCCTAGACCTGGAAAGAGAGATGGGGGGAGGAGGGGAAGCTCAAAGTACAAAAGAGATTCAAGGTAAGTGATTTTTTGACTCATTTAGATTATGCAAAATAAACAAGCCAAGCTATAAATTATGTTCCTGAACAGACTCTTTAAAGTGACTGTTGTAAATGAATGTTTAAAAAGACTATATGAGTAAATATAATTTTTTACTTAGTACTTTATGTCAACATTTTATTTACAGTCCATTAATACAATCTGGCACAAAGCATAACTATAAAAGACTGTTCCTTCTAATCAAGACTAAGTTGTATAAAGGAAGATTTACCTTTTGTTCCATATTTTCCTCAAAACATTTTATTGGATTCTTCAAAGCATCAATCAGTAAATCAGTCACTTCTATGCTGTAAAAGAATTTACTATTAAAAAACAAACTGAAAACATTTATACTTTTTTT